TATGTGTTATATCTTCAGGAACGTATCAATTTGGTACAGAACATTTGAGAACTCACTCGTAAGGAAGCCTACCTTTCTGACAAGCTCACGGACCCTCCGTAAGTAAACAAAAGGATTGCTCTTTGGAGTTGTGTCGCCCACAAATCCCATGGTATTTGTTGTCTGGCTGTGAAAGGCAGGCGGAGCTAGCAACGGCGTCTCACACACGGTCAGGGACACCAATCCAGGGGGTGTGAATTCACACTGACCCAAATCCGAGTCTAAGTATGCTACGTTTTTGTACGTGCCGAGCAGTCGGTTCACCATGAACCGCGCGAAAGTGGATTTGCCAACATCTTTACCTCCCACCACCGCAATAACGGGGCATGCAGCAGCGTCTAGGGGGCCTAAATTAGCGTCTACATTTGTACTTGTTCCAGTGTTTTCGCTGTTACGTTTACTTCGTTTCTTCGCGGCCGGTGCCCTTGACAAGTCGGCACTTTTATCCTGAATACTCGTCTGATCCGAGTACGCACAGACATCCCTGGCGAACAAATACCAGTCCTCGGGTGCACGGAACAACGCTATCTCGCTTTGCATCTGTGGCACTAGGGACATCGTTGTAAGCTTCAGACACTCGGCATACGCAGTCTTGGCCAAAGTATTTGGTAGACTGAACATGTACCTTCCCGTCCGCACGTTGGTCTCGATAGCGCGTATAGTCTGCAACGCCGGTGACAAACGCTCGAAAGTATCAGCAAGAAGTATCACGCAGCACTTGGTACTGTTGTATGGCTTATTTGTTTGTCTATTGATAAAGTTCCGTACACTTTCAGGCAACGAGTATGTGTACCCCATGTTCTGCATTTCCGTGGGTGTATCTGTGATTGTCTGCATCTTCGAGTGTGTGTATGTGCGTCTGTGCCTGCCCGGCGAGCGCATATCTGTGCGTGTATCTGCCTTTGAATCTGCTGGGCGTATAGATAGCACACTCAGTGATCGAGACGACACGAGTGTGTGCATATTTAGTGTCACAAACCCATCCAATGCAATTTGATGTGACACGGCTTCACTGCTGCGCATACTATATCCATTCACATCAGCTGTACCATCCAGCACACACATGTCTGCACATCCTACCACGCCCAAGGCCTCCTCAGGCTGTAGTATTACTACTGCTGCCGCCCTCTCAGGCATAGGTGCACGTGTATGTGTAGATGTACTTGTGTTTGCATGCGATTGATGTGTGTTTGTGCTTGTGCTGCTATCTGCGGGTGTTAATGTGAATGTATAGCACGCATTGGTGGTCCATTTCCAGGTCGATCCATGCAATGTATCACCCGTACTCACGCTAGGTGTTGCACCGCCCATTTTCAGTGATCTGCTGTGGTGCATGTTCATACCCCCTTGGACTCGTGCTTTAAGATTCACTTCTTCAGTCTCAGTCTCACTGTGCGTATTGTTATCATCGGAGTCGTTGCCATAGTTATTATTGCTATACACATCCTCGTGGTCACTATCACGGTTGTACTGAGGGGATGAGAGTGCTGCACTAGTGTAATCTTGGTGATTGAAAAGGGATGGCTCGGTACGCACGGCATATGCACTCACAGGTGCATCGACAGGTGCTGATATATTAGATGTGTTAGCATAACTGTGTTCTTCTTGTCCCCGAGTATCCGTATCTTGTTCTTGAGGTTCGGCTACACCTTTGGTTGTTTTTCGTCGTTTATTAGCCCCCATTGTGAGTGAGTGGTGTAATACGAGTTAGATGAATGGAATGCGCTGTCGATGAATGAACTTGCACCTATATATTTTATCTACTTTTGTATTGCATATATCTCACTGCAATGTTTCACTTACAATTGTAGATGAGGTATGCTACTAATTTTCCTGTGCATAAACACTCAGCTACGACAGTTCTCCACTTTCCAATACATGCTTTAAATATCCAGAATTCTAGAGATGGCAGTAAATAACTAAATATAACTAAATATGTATGTCGTGTTACTTTATTTCTATCTCATATACAAGTTTATCACATCGATCAATCTTTAATATATATTGATGACACCAAACTCCACGTGATTTCTGTGGAAGAGTTCAGACAATATTTTGTAAAAATATATTTAATAATACACGGTGCGTCTATTTTGTAGCCACACCTTGTGAAATCACAGCCTCGACTGTAGCACGTATATTGCAGCGGTGTGCGTTGATGAGCAGTTGCGAGCAAAAACCTGTGCAAATAGCTGTTTAGGTTCGCTGACTAGCTACAACTGTGATTTGTATAAATACATCCATTTTCACTTCAATTTTATGAATATATCCTAGAATCAGAGGCTGCAAGATGCGCATGAAAGCAAGCGCGCCATACATACATACATACATACATGCATACATACATACATACATATATACATACATACATGCATGTATGCATACACTATAATTATATATATATATATATATATATATATATACGTACATACATATTAATACACACACACACACACACACACACACATATATGTATATATAACATATATACATACATAAATACATACATACATACATACATATGTACATACATACAAATATGCATAAATACATACATACATAATATATATATATATATATATATGTACGCATACACGTACACATACACACAAAATCACACACACACACATATATATATTTATTATACATACGTACATACATACATACATACACACACACACACACACACACACACACACACATATATATATAGACATTCACACACACACACACACATATATATATATATACATACATACATACATACATACATACATACATACATACATACATACATACACTCACACACACACTTACACACGCACACACACACACACACACACATACACACATGTATATAT